ATGAAAATCATCAATATTAACAACATGAAGACAATCTATCTAAAAACATAAATGAAAGATCAATTATTTTATAATTTGATTAATATATTATATTAATCAAGTTATACATGTTATAGAAATAGATGGGTTAGTCACTTGACTCAACCAGGTGACTTTTTGACACAATTAAAAATTAAGATTAATTTTGACAACATGCATATAATATATAATAAAATATAGTACTTACATTTGTCTTGAAATATTCATTTATATAATCAAAATGATCTTTTGCTATTTGCTTTTTAAATCTGGCAATTGTTTTGTAATTGGCACATATACCTGCATTTGCCAAGGTGTTTATTGCAATAGAGCTAGTGCCAGATGATGCAAGGTATAAACCTATATCAATTTAATGGAGTTGGCAAATTTATTTCTAAAGCCATCCAGCAGATAGCAGAAAGCAATGACAGATTTTTTTGCAGGTTCTTTATTATCATCAGAATGTTTTTTAGGAATCAATGCATTTGTCATTTCTTCAAAAAACCTTGAAGTAAAGGATCCTTTTCTGTTAGCATGTTTTGAAATTTTTGGGGCTCTAATTCAACCTTTTCATTTTGTTGCCTTTGTTGAGCAAATAAAATTTTGGTCATTCGCTCAACTTGCATGGGAAATGATCTATCAACTTATGGAATTTCAAAAAAAACCATTATTATTGGTATATCAATCAATTTTTTCTCCTAAGGAGACAGCCAATTTATTAAAAATATGACAAGAATGGCATTGAGCTTCTTGCACACCAACTAAAATAAATAACTACCTTCAATTTCTTGTTCTATTGTTTCTTCTTCAGTAGACAATTTTTTATTTAGTTGTTCAATTTCAATTTGTTTTTTTTGCATTTGATGAATTTTATTTAACAACAAAGCAAAATCATTAGTGGACATTGTTACTGAATCATTATTAATATCTACATTAATATCATTAAATGAAACATCAACTTGCATCATATCTTGATCATTTGAATCATTTAATAAATCTTCAATAGTATAACTATAGATTTGTTCTTGGAAGTTCTCATTCATATTTTGATTTTCAAAAGAATCAAGTTTTTTCCCTTTTTTTGGTTCACATATTTGTAAATGATGGAAACTGCAAAGTTGAGATTCATTGACTTTTAAATAATTGAAATATGAAAATGTTCCAACATCAACTGATTTAGTATATGAAACTGCAGTAAATTTTCTATAAGGTTTTGGATTTTTACAATTAAGAATAGAACAAGGACCTTTATTAGATTGAGTCATTTTCAATTAAAAAATAAAATAAGTAATTATTTCGTGAATTTTTTTTATTGACTATGTCGATCGTGTAACGTGATGATTTCGAATGTCGATCAAAATCGAAAGTCCACTATGCTCGAGCCAATAAAATTTAATTTTTGCGTGATGTCTGGAAGGGAGATCATCACAAAATTTAGCCAATGAAATCAAACTTC